GGATACGAACATAGAGAAGTATATATACATATAAAGAATAAGAATATACTTTATTCCAGAATTGGAACCGGTCCAATCCGGTTGAAATGGTTAGATCGGCCGGTTTTTGTCGGTTGAAAAATATTTTATAGATATGTTAGTTTTTCTGATGAAACTCTGGTTGAGAACAAGTTTTTATGCTCTCATCAAAATAACTGACTTGTTTTGTTTTTTTGCCAATTTATTTCAATTCTTTTAATCGAAATCCATTTCATTTTTTTAAGTATAATCAAAACTGTATTAATTGAATTAAAATTATCTCATACATTGTTTTTGTTGAAGATGACTGATATGTTTAATGACGTTCTTTTTCAAACTACATGTATATATATAAATATCTCACATACTTATCTTTGAGAAACAAAACAGATACGAAGGACTAGAATACGATATTCCTTTCTAATGATCTATAAAAATTTGAGCGAAAAAAGGATAGTGATTTTTTTTGAAGACATTTCTTTTAGCTAATTAATAATGATGTAATAAAAAGGCCTCTTTTTGATAGTTTTCACCGGTCTGAAAGGTTTTTTTTTGAACCAGTTGACCAGTGGTCGACTTATATGAGTCTAAAATTTTAGACTTCTAAGTCGATCAAGGTCTACAATCTTGACCGACTACAACCTTGGGTTGTTACCTGTTTTTCTTATCGCGCGACTTATACGCGAATCGAGAATAAGGCTTGCTGCAACATAAGTATCACAGAAAAGACAAGTATAAAAAAAAGGAGAAAGAACTGCAATCAATTGGTTTTTGAATAAACTGACTAAATGGAATGCTTTTCATTAAAAGATTAAGAGCATACTGTTGTTTTTTTTAGCTTCTCTCAATTTTATACGAAGACGATCAATTTAATCAAAAAGAATGAGGACGACCAATAATTTGAGTGAAATCAAAATAATTGGAAGAATTAAAAACATCTTTTTTTTGTTAATTATTATGATAGACTTTATCCTATTAGTGTACAAAATGTCGTTTTTAATAACCGAATTCTACCAACAGTCTTAAATTATAATGCGTGATATTTTGATTTTTCAATTAGATAGATTTTTTTTATTTAAAATTGATAATACGATTTTAAAAAAAGGAGCTGCTTTCTCATCAGTGAAAATCGGTAGCCATTTAGATCAAAGTTTCGCTCTAAAACAGTTTTACTATATAAAAAAGGGTGTGGGTGTGAATGAAGTAAATAACTATCTACCTACATTCTTCACATCAAATAGAAAGTTGATTTTGAATATTTTTCAGCATTGCTAAGAGAATAAAAAATTACCACTGAGCTTGAGAATCTAATTTTCCAAGATTTGAGAAGTAGATAAATCCAAATTACTCTATAATTCATTTTCATCATAAACTCGTTCTGTCGTTTTGAATCTTAGAAAGTTTCCCTACCAATGAATATAACTCCTGTAGCACTATATTAACATTTCGTTCAAATAATAGCTGTTAGAGTCGACTGAATCTATTAACGTATCTTTGAATACTAATATGTTGCATCAGTATTAGATTTTCAAAACGTAGCAGCCATCATATCGGCAGCTATGATGTGAATATAATCGAACATTATATCTATTAGCCTAATTTAATTAGGAAAAAAAAATAATTTGCTTATTTGTTTTTCAAAGTTTCTAATCGATTTTTTTTTCGTTAGTTAGTGGTAGGTGAACAAAATGCTGTAATGGAAAATAGCGATATTTACATTAACTGTCTATTTGAATAGAAAGAAATTAGATAGACATCTTGATTAGAAAGTTTAAAAAAACAGAATGTTAAGCAGAAACATTGCATAAAAAGATCCTATATTTTTTGGCATTTTTTATGGAAAATCCTTTATTTTAGAAAAATTAATTCTATAAGTATCCCTATTTTTTTAAGAACTCGTAATCGGACTCCAAACTTCTTTGTCTTTGTAAGGTAAATATATATATGAATTCTTTATTGATTGAATTTAGAAAAAAGACTATTCAATCAAGTAGTAATTAGCTGATATTTTTCAATGAAATATCAATTTTATCGATATTTATATTTTTTGAGTTTTATTTATTTAGAATATTATGCAAGATTGTTTGAATAATCAAGTATAAACAGTTCTTGACATTCCTTATTTCCATGATAATTATTGGCCGATTATTATTGAAAACAATATTGAAAATATGTTTTAGTATTGATAATAAAAATCGAATTTGTTCTTTTTTAAGAACTTTATCAAGAAGAAGAAGATCGAAGAAAACAAAACGTTGAAACAGAACAACCTATGGTAGATGAAGAAGAAGTTAGTTGAAATTGTATATAATAGTCGCTATTTAAATCTTGATTTTACTTACAATATGAATATTTGATTTTTTATTTTAATTTAGATTTTTGATAAATGTAAATTTTGAAATACATATGAAAAGGAAAATTTGAAGAAAACACCAAATCAAATATCAAATTCTACTGATTTACTATCTAGAATATTTTCAACTATGGAAAAATACAAAGAGGTAAGTTATTTAAAAAAAAACAAATTGTCAAAGGTGATTTTTGTCCACTCTGATTTAGTCTAATACAAGAGTTTTTCAGCTTTCAACATATGCTAACTATAATTTCATAAGATTTACTAAACCAACTTTTGATCGCGCTCTGTTTTTCCCAAACATTATTATACTTACAAATTGCATCTATATCTTTCTTTAGGCATTTTTTGTTATTTGTCTTCATAATCAAATAACATTCTATTTAACAGTCAATGATATTAATGCTCTCATTGAATGTGATCTAATCGACACGACAAATGCATTTTTAAGTTTTGTTTTGTAATAAAAATTATACATTTTCTTCATTACGTCGTGCAAAATTTTCTATCATGGCTATATTATATGAATTACATACATTAACAACAGATAAATGCATTTATAATTGTAATACATGTCGACAACAATGCGATATACGTTATCATTGCACAGTATGTGAAGATTTTGATCTATGTGAAAAATGTTATAATATTGAATCAAATCATGAACATAAAATGGATAAATATAATACATTAAATATTAATGATAAATCTAGCATTATCACATACTGTTAAGAATCGTATGGATGATGGTGTTAATCGTAGTTATTTTCATTCTAAATTTATTATATAACATATAAAAGATTGTAAAGAAAAACCCTCAACACGAGATCAATGATTTATTTATAAAATTTTGTTTCTGAATAAAATCTCATTTATTCTATATTGAGGGTGTGATTGTGGGTGTGCGTGTGTGTAGATGTGGTTGTGGATGTGCGTGTGGGTGTTGGTAAAGAGAAGAACTACACCCACACTCACATCCACACTATCTTTATTTTAGTTTCCGATTTTCGCACATGTTTGCTCAATTTTAGAATGGATACGTATTTGAATTATTCAATTCAAGGCCGTTTGCACACTGTTCTGCATGCTTTTCGTCAAGATATTTCAAAAGAACGTTTTCGTAGGCCTTCCTTCCTTTGTGTCGGACGATTTCGTCAGGCCAACTTCGTAAGGCTGAGGCCAATCGCCCAGGAACACCAGGTTCTTGAGCAATATCGATGATTGGCAGGAAATAAGTACGAATTGTAAAAAGAATGGCTCCGCTACGTGGTAATCGTCGAAGCGCTTGCCTCTCACTACGGAAATGTATGTTTTCGATAGATGGATTCGGTCGTGCATCTTTTCGTCCGAAGCCAAATGTATCTTCAGATCCGATCGAACTTGACCAAGCCAGTTCACCGTCTGTTTGAATTGAATAATTGTATCGAACAACTGCTTGCTCAGGCATCATTTTTTGAAAGAATCGTTCCATACCTTGCTGTAACTTTTCTCGAAATTGTGCTACATTGCCAGACGTATGAATTTCGGCGAGTGGCATATTGAATTTATCTTCTAGACGCCAAAAACCTGGAAGTGGAATGGCACCAGCTTTGAGATAATACTGTCCATCGACACCTTCGATCATTAGTGCTAGATCGTCTTGAATTAGAAAAGCTGCATACTTGAGAGGATCATCAGAATGAATAGGGTAAATTTCTCCTGTTGCTTTGATTCGAATTTGTTTTTGTGAGGTGCTAAAGTCGAATTCGAACAGTGAAGGATAGCGACAAACTGCATATTCGCTTATCAACTCCATGGTCTCGAGTGCGGCATCGTACGCTTCGGGAGCTGTCATACATAAACGAGAAGCTCGTTCACCAGATAGACGGGCAAGCTTTTCATTATGATAACGAATCCATTGGTTGTCAAGCTCGATCCAATCATTCAAGTCTAGACGACGAATACCCATTGTGACAAAATAATCAGGTCCGTACTTGAACGGACGGTAGCGTAATGGATTTGTAGTTTCAATAGACCAGTTAGGATAGGCAGGTGGAGTCGGTGCTCGAAAATTGACTGGAGTCCATTTGCCGAAAGGTCTTTTTTTATCGACTACCGTAACAACGTGTTTCTTGCGTCCAAATTGAACAATGTAGAACAACGTTCCAACGGTGATTACTGCTAACAACAAATATTCGAACATCTAAAATCTTAAAGAAAATCTAGATGTATTGTATAGTCAAAATATACAAATATATGACTCGCCAAAAGTATTTTCCTCCTATATGTGAATCCCAACAACAGCTGAGAGTCGAAAAATCGGTGCATAAGCAGCTCACGAGGAATGTGTATTAGTAGCACCATTCAAGCCAAAATCGCTCGTTTGAGAATAGAGTTACGATGGATGGCTTTTGTATTCATCACAGACTCGATCATTCGAGAAGAGTAACATGTTTTAGGTTGGTCAGTCCTTCATTTTCTAGCCTCACAAAGTAACTATTAGTAGTTGCAATCTTCATCAAAGTTCATCTATCCATTGATGAACTATGATAATTTTTAGTGCAACTGTCGAAATACCACAATACTATGTGATATCATTGAGAAAATAAAAGCTCAATGGTAGTTGATGAATTCTCAAGATTTTGGAAATATATTGCTCGATCTTTGAGAATTATATTCGAAAAGTTTCAGAAAAAATACCATGCCAACGAAGAATGACATGTGAAGGACTGTCAAATTCTTATTAATACTCTAAACCCTCTGATACTTGAGTGGAATTCCTCTTTTGAGTGAAGAAAGACCATAGATTGAGCTTCCGTTAGCTGCTAAAATATTGATAATTACTCGTATATTTGTTGAGAAACTGAACATAATTAATATGTATTTCTTGTATTAGTTACTTTTCTGCCGATATAAGTGAGTATCATTCTAGGTTCATTATATTTTCACCTCTGAATTGCCGGTAAGTAGAATAAAACTGATCATAGATATGCTGAAACATACTACAGTAACATTTCCCTATATCCACGTATAAAAAGTTTATAAAAAAAATCATAAAAATCGATTAAAATGGCATTAGTATAGTTTGATTATAATCAGATTTTTTCAGCCTTAAAGGACAGATTTCATTTGATTTAATCATCTTAATTTATTTTAATCAGTTGTAATTGATTTATTGTTAGTAGTTGACTAAAATAGTGCCATTTTAATCGAGTTTTAATTTGATTTTTAACCGATTTTTTTACATGGGTGGTATCATATAGCATTGTAGCATTTCAACAATTGCAGTAAAAATGATCATAGTTTATTAATGGATACATGAACTTTGATGAAAATTATAACTACAGATAATTATTCGGTTGGATTACAAAAGCAGGTGTTTGTTAAGTCGTAATTTTGTCGTCTTCTCGAATGATCGAATCCACAATGAATACAAACGCCATTCATCATAACTCCAATATCACACGAGTGATATTGAGATTGAGACTCACAGCAGGATACTATTGGCCAATTGTATAAGGCACATGCCAGTGAGAAGAAAAGGAGAAGAATAGTTAGATAGAGCAGATACGCAAGCGAATGATAGATGTGAAATAATAGTTTGTGTCAAGTGACGTTGATAAGAACGAAACGAAAAGTTAATTACAACGTTGTGAGATAAACGATGAAGCGATCAACCCAGCGTATGAAGTGACATCCATAGTCTTTTCGTTGCTTCAGCTTCACAAGCTTGAATTTGAAAAAAGCTTGAAGGTATGGGTGTGGGTAGGTATGGAAGGTGCACGTGCGCCTGTAGATGAAGAAAACATTAGCACTTACATCTACACCCATACCCTTTATGTTATTATTACGAAAAAGAACAACTATCATTCTTGATCCTAATTTCGAAACGCAAAATTGTTGATTATTTCGATTTATATTTTTGCAAAATAAATTTTAAGGGCTACATTTTTTAAATACTTTATTACATAATCAAAAACAAAACAATGTAATCTGCCAAATACAAGGAAAAAAAGGAACATATTTAACACAATAATCATTCGAAGACAAGATAGAGTGAGAAAGAATAGAGTTTTCGTTATTAGTACAAAAAAACAATATACGCTACATAAAATTGAAAAGTGCACACGAAAGAATAAGTCATATCAAGATCCCATCGTATTAGAAGAACAATATGTATTGATTAAAGTAGTTTTGTTCAGAATAGAACTTTATAATAAATCTTTTCAGATCTTTGACCGTTAACTATAGTAACTTGTCGCAGAGGATCTCTACAATGGTCATCATAAACAGATGCAAAAAGAACGAAAGCAAATAGGAAATAACCCGTAATGCAAAGAATCGTAGCTGTATGCAAATAAAAACAAGTATATCGATAAACGACAGCTAGAATACCGATGAAAACCAACAAGCAAGTGATTCATGTGCTATAGACGAGAGAAAATGTATAGTCTCCACTTAATGAAAGAAATTCTCGAATAAGGTAAACCAGTAATACAAATAAAACTAATAATAAGATTCGACCGATCTTAAGCTGCTCATCAGTAAGACAGTGTTTCGCTGAAACGAGAGAGCAGTGACAATGAGCATATGATATACCACAATATAGATGTGATTGAACTGATGTTACATTTGGCATCTGCAACATGAAAACTGGTTTCTGAGATTTTTCCAGAATAGAAATATGCTCGCATTAGATATAAATGGCTAGGACTATTAAATCAGCATAACAGACAGTAGGCCAATCATCTTGACTATCGAAATGAACAATTATTGGCATTTTAATATGTTATTGTGAACAAGCTGATATAAGACTACGTTTTTTATTCTCAATATTCTAAAGGATATTCAGATAGAAATAGAAAGGTTACAATATATTATCTAGAATAGATAGAACAGATCTTCAATAACAAATTCAATATATATTTTGCTGATAAATCATCAATTCGTCAAATATAGGGTGTCTCAAAAATCGTGTTCACTTAAGAAATGCATATAACTCCATTACTAAACCAGCTTAATCTAATAATGTTTTTTTATTTGGAAGAGGAAAACAAAGTTTTTTTTTTGTCCGAGACAAAGTTCATAAACACTCTTTTAAGGCTATCATTCCTAACTACAACATAAGAATTTGGCATTTGTCACATGTCAAAACTCTGGCATTTAATGTTTTTCCTATATTTAATTGAATTTCCGTCCTTGTTATGGGTTTTACGTCATTGTCGTCTCGGAATATTGCTTTATCAGTATTCTTTCGATATTTTCTTGTTGAAAGAATGCATCAATATCAAGTCTAATGATAGTAAGAGCTATAAAATCGTTCGATATATTGATTTTACCAATTGTCCAAATTCTCAATGTATTGGAGAAAAATTGCTTTCCAGAAATGGACCAGTTACTCGATCTTCTCCAAAAAATGTCAAACAAATGACTGTAGAACAGTGATAAAGGCTGACAATGATGTAAAGTCCATAACAGGGATAGAAATTCAATTAAATATAGGAAAAACATTAAATACTATGTTTTTTGACATGTAAAAAATGCCGTATTTTTATGTTGTAGTTAGAAGTGATAGCTTTAAAAGAGTATCTATGAACTTTGTCTCGAACAAAAAAAAACTATGTTCTCCCCTTCCAAATAAAAAAAAAATTATTAGATTAAGCTGGTTTAGTAATGGAGTTATACGCATTTCTTAAGTGAACACGACTTTTGGGACATTCTGTATACGCGACGAAAAGTCAACATATAAAAAATATAAAGTTTATCGACTAATATTTGTTTGCTGTTTTTTCATTCGTTGTGCTGCAGCAATTTGTTCTTTTTGTTGAATACAATCAGCAAATGCTTGTAAATGTATTTGTAATTCATTTTCTTTAAATTTTTATAAATGTTCAACTTGTGCTGCATATGAAGCTAATGCTTCATCTTGTTCGTCATCATCATCATAATCATCTTGGAGACTATTTGATGATGCAGAACCATCAAGATTTCTTTATCATCATCAATAGATAAAGCTAAAATAAAAGAATAAATCATTATATAAATATAATTGATCAAACCTTTTGATATTCCATTTTTATTTGATATGATCTCATCATTATCTCCAGCTCGTAATTCTTTAATTCGATCACCATAGCGTGATGTATTCGTTGTATTTTCAACATCACAATGTATTGGTGATACCATTGCAATCATAGAAACTTTTGATTTATCACCAATAAATGAATTTCGTAATATTTTTGTTAATGTCGAACCACGAAATAGTATATGACCGCCATCGTCACGACCCAATAGATACGTAGCCGTACGAAAAAGAATCATGGTCGGACTATTCATTATCTGCGTTAATTAATTTTCTTTTCTGATATGAATTCGAAGCAAGAGAGTTGCAAGAAGTAGAAGAGAAAGAATAAATAGCTACTTTCGCGGCACAGACACCATGTAAAAAACTAAGTAGGTTGATATGTGCAGGACCAACATATCATTTTCTCTCTCGCGTGTGCGCACTAAAGTGTCATCAACAAATATATTATTGCGCAAGACAAGCAGTTTACCCTTGCCAAAAGAACGTGCATAGGTGATGGCGCCAACAATGGCAAATTTGGTGAACTTTTGTGTTTGATATATTCAAATTTTTCGCAATTTTTGTCCTGATGTCTAGTTCTCGCTAATTATTTGTTACGACTGAGGAAGTCGGAAATACATAAAATCGATTCAAATAAATCATTTTTAAGTGATATCTGTAAACTCGTCAAGGATTATTAAATCGCGTAGATTGCTCCCATGCACCGGCGGCGAACGTGATGGTTCTATCATACACTACTGTCATCTTTAACAAGCCATCTAGGTGCACGTATAATCACATATCTTCCTCCTTACGTTAACATGCTGGCCGCTGCTTCAATCAATAGCATCTGTTTCTGTTCTCTAGATAGTGATAGATAAAAATGTATGAGTGCTTTTTCTTCAGTAAACTCACCCTCATATTACAAGGCTCTGCATCTTCTATTACGTCTCGGTGTACAAAGTTTACAGGGAGTCTTCTATTGTGATATACTTTTTTTTCATAATTTTTAATTAAAAAGGTTTTTCAGATGACAACAATGAGTTTTAGAATTCTAAAAGTCCAGAAAATGATCTTGATGTCAGCCGTTGAAGATTTTCAGTCCAAAATCCTAAAAAATAGCCACATTTTGATGTAAATATATTGATTAAAATTCCAATTTTTCGAGAAATTAATTGACTAAGGGGTCTTCTAATATAGAAGACTCTTCTGTTGCGAAGAGGAGTTTAGGGCAATATATTCTTTGGTGTTCGATCATTTTTTTTTTGAGAGAAGGCCTCTTATTCATTCTGTTTGTCATTATAAACGGCATCACGATCGGCCTTGAATTGAGTAACTTTTCTTTGATTTTTCGTTGACTCGATGATGTCTATTGTCAGCAAAGTAAACGTTGAGAGATCTTACTCAATGATCACACTTCAAACACTGAGAGTCAATATTCTCTGTCTGCACTCTTGCGAGTATCGATCAGGCGTCTGCTATGTACTCTCTGTTCTAGTCAACCTCATTTTCGATCCCTCATGTCGAATATAAAGAACGACCGTTCGAAATCGAGGTCAACAAATTCTACGACATGTTGCGATCATCATCTCTGTTTGCTTTTCTATTTCATTCGAGAAGGACATACTTAGTATAGATAATAAGAATAAATTCGGTGCTACTACAACATCATTACTTGAATTTGTTAAACGCAAACGTGAAGAACAAAGATAAGAAAAGATGATTCGTATCCAATAGCAACAACAATGTCGTAATAATAAACAACCATCGAGAAATAATGCATCAAATATGAATGAGGATGATTGTAATACTTTACCAAGATATGTTGGTGATGATGATGATGGTGGTAATCAATTCAAGTCAGTTTTTGTTGAAAACTGATTTTTAAAACGAATGTTTTCTATATAGTCGTTCATAATGTGGCTATGATAAATCTGATTATCGAACATCAAATCATGAACAGGTACTGAAATACAAACAACTATCTCATTTTATTTTTATATTCTTATAAAAGAAACGATCGAATGTGGATGATTATGGTGATAATAAATCATCCAATAACAAAGTGCGAAGGAATCTAAAACTACTACTAATACAGAATCAAATAATGAAGAAACATCAGCATCATCTTAAACTGAAAGTTAACCAAAACGTGGTACGGGATCTACAGATGCAACACCATTATCAGCTTATTCTTCTCAAAAGGTATAAACTCATTTAGAAAGAAATTCCATCACGAATATTTTAATTTTGTAGAGCGCAAATATTGCAACAAAGAATCCACCATCTATTCAAATTTATAACTCTGAAGAATGAGCTCGATTACGATGATAACAAAATCCATCATCTTAAAGACTATTCTTCGTGTGATTTTTTTGTTATAAAATTTTTTTGTTTATTTTCTGCGATAAAAAATAAATCATACTCTTCATTGAACACAGATAATTCTCTTTCAGATTCTTTTAAAAATACAAGCGTTGATTAAACTTATTGGAGCAGAAATCTTGACGATTGATCAAAATAAAATAGTTTTAATAAACTATTTCAAAAAAAGATTCATCATTCAACAGCAAAAGCGTCATGACATAAAGAAAAAAAAGGATCTATGAATATAAAAAGAGCTAACGTTTTCTATTGATCATTCTTCTTGTGATTGGGTGTGGATGTTGGTGTGGGATGTGTGTATGTGGGTGTGGGGTGTGAGAAAATAGAAGATACCAGATCCCATACCCATATCCACACCCACACTGACACGCACACTCACACCAAACACCCACCCTAGGTCGGATTGGATCTGCTGGGTTAATGCAACAATGAGCACTTCAGACAGAATACTTCATTATTCTGAATATTGAAGAACAACTTGAAAAAATTTTTAAGCCATTGATTTCTTTCTAAATTTAGACGAAGTCGAATTTTGAATTTTGAGTAAGTCCAATAAATCGAACATATCAATCATGTTACTTCGAAGGAACAAAAACAGAACCTTCAAATTCTATCACAATTGTTTCGATATTGTCCAGATTTCTCATTACATAGCAAACGAATCTTCAAGTATTGATTTCTCGAAAGAAAATGCAAGTTAACGTCTTTCTCAAAGACAACAATCGAATAGAACTCAAATCTAAGAACAATTTAAAAAAAGGGCTGCTCTATCAGTTACATCGAGAAAACTCTCAACATAGTAGTAGTATTATAAAATTGGCATAACGTATCGAAACATTGTAGACGGAAGTAACTGTAAAAATCTAAGAAAAAAGCGAATAGTAAACAACAAATGTATTTCAAACAACTTGCGAAATAAACCACGTGGAAAATAGAAAAACGATTCATAGGACAAAAAATGCATGAAAAAACGATTTTTTTTGCAATCTTCTTGTTAATACAAGATTCGATGAAACAGAACAAGAAAAAAGAAATTTGATTAAAGTTGTTAGCGCATTTCCTTGCGGGATTAAAAATATGAAACACGATGTACCTACTGTTGCCAATCTTATAAAAATGTTTTTTTTTATGCATATCAGTGTACATTTCTTGATTGTGGGCTACTTTACATTATAGAGCTGAAACAGGATAATACTCCATATACTCCAATCATGTGTTAATTATGTATTATCTCTGATAGTTTCTTGAACTCTTCTTTCACAGCCTATGATGACCCCTGGAGCCTGTCTGTCATGGTCTGTGGAAGGGTGGGGGAGGGGGGGGGTCCAAATTTCTACCCCTAAACACTTCAACACTCCTTTCAGATCGTGTTTCACAAAAGAGGAATGTAGAGTCTGTGGAGACATCTGTATG